GTGATAAAAATAACACAAAATACAGTGTAAGCAGTAATAATCACAGTTGTAGATATTCATCTTGATGCTGAGCTAAATATGCTTATCCCACCAAAATAGATGGTTGAACTTCAGTACCTAAAAAGTAGTAGCCAGAGGCTACACTTTTTCGCTGTAAGTGAGGTGAAAGAACAACTTAATATATTTGAAAATGCCACTGCTAGAGTTTCTGTACCCATTATTCATATTATAAGGTGTATTAGTTATTTTTCTGAGGTGTAGTCTACCTATTTTACACATCGTACAGTTTAAAAGTTAGGCATATGCAATCTAAGAGGGCTTTTTATGTTTGAAAGTTCAAATTCCACTTTCTGTAAATTGACGTAATTATTTACATTGATTCCTTGGCATTCCTGGAAATTTTGTAAACATACTGATGTCTTCCCCATAAATTAAAGCGGTTTATATGAGATTCCGTATTTGGCCTCACGTGCTCAGAGTTATTTTTAGATATTTTCCACAAATGTCGACTATGGTGAAGATTAATTCTGTCACAAAAATAATAACCAATATAGACGAAATTAAGTTGCACAGAGAACTTTGCTGACGACAAAATAGAAGAAATGCATTTCCCGCCTCCCTTACTTCTCTACTATTTATTCAGTAAAATATTTTACAGTTGTGAGTTTTTATTGCCTCTTGTCTCCGTTTTCCTGACAATCTCCATGGTGAGTCGCCCATAAACTGTTTTATTTGTATTCAACAAGAAATGTGTGACAAGTCACTTTACTATGCACTAAGTGCATTTTGAAACACTGTTATTGTTCAAGGGTGGAGGTGAAATATACATACAGTTTATAAAATTTAACATCTATGATGCATTTTTAAGGCATAGATTATTTTTACTTTTTCCTTGGTAGATCTTATGTTGCTGAAAAAGCTAGTTGGTGTCAAGATGACACCTGCATAAAGTTTTAATATGTATACGTGTTGCATATTTGTTCTGTTTTACTGGTAAGCATAACATTTCATTTATTTAGTCTAGAGTAATTATCATTTAAAGAAATTGTTTTTCTTTTTACTGATATACCTAAGGTTGTGTTGTGTTGTGTTGTTTTCTTTCATTTCCACTATCATTATATAAAAGATGGATAGATGAATTTTGTTGAGTAAACATTTGTTAGGGAATTCTTGTTTTCCGTGTAAGTTTTGCATAGTGTTTGTGCGCATATGTAATTAGTTCGTGTGCCGATGAATTTTTCTCATTTATAAACATTTATGTATGTGCTAATTTATTATCCTTTTATCAACATCAAAATCTTATCTACACGTGTCAATAACAGTTTTCTGTGTATCACACAGCCATATACTACTTAAAAAACTTATTCCTTCTCTAAAATGCTTTCAAAAATTTAACTGTAACTATATACTATTCAATAAGATTTATTGCATATTCTGTCTCTATTCTGTTTTCAAAATCTTGACGTGGTGTTAAACTCTTGATGAAGGCATACAGTGAAATATTTTCATCTCATGTGGAATTCATTGGCGTTTATTATGTATACTTAAAAAAAAATTAGAGACTTAAAATATGAAAAACAACAATGCTCTCATTTCATTGCATGAGGTGAAATTTGTTTACATGACAACATGCACATTAATCGCATCATCGGTAAAAGATTGGGAATAAATCTCTAAGTTGAAAGTGAATACGCGATACCGTTGGCATAAACAGAAATTCATTATTATTATTATTGCTCGTTATTCCCATTAATTGTGAGTTTTATTTTGTTCTGAAGTCGTCAAATATGTATTACATATGTGTCTATAAGCGGCACTAGTGATGTTTTCAACATTTTCTTACTCAGTAAAAATGTTTTCGTTTCACATATTTATGCAGTAGTGTCCTTATTTGCCTTAATTTATAGTCACTTGATAAAAGCCGAACATGTTTCTTATTGCTAAAATAAACACGTCGTTAAGAAACTAATGAAGGACATAAAATAGAATTTCTGTGTATCATTTTTAGTTTCATTTCATCTTGCTTCAACAGTGGTTGGAAAATCATTTTGACAAAAAAAATAAAGATTTGACAGATTATGACACTAGAAAGAGCGTGAAAGTATCAAAATATCTCAAATATCCAGCGTGTCTGTACACATAGGTATATCAGAGTATGCCTACAGTGTAAAATCTATTTTAATCATTCCAGTCTAGATCAGCGAAAAATAAAGAAGGAAAGAAAGATGATTATACTATACATTTTAAGTACCCAGACAATTATCTTTTTACAATATTTATCATAACTATCAAGTTACATGGGGAACTTGTTCACCATTCAGTAGTTGAGACCAAATCAAATGCCTCACCAAGTCTGACTTCTAAGTATTCACCTTGTTTTCTGAAGCTCCTGGGTCCGATATCTGGAGAGATCATTGGTGCGTATTACAGAAGAGTCCCGAACCGGGACGAAACAACTATCCAGTGCGTCCTGCTTTTCTATTTGAAGTCAGTTGATAGTCAAACTTGAAACATAATATTTTTCTTAGATAAAAATCTCACCACTTAACATTAGCTACATCGATGGAGTTTTCGCTACAAATCAGCCGTACCATGTCTGCAGGGGTATCTATACATCAGGCAGAATATTAGAAGACGAAATTGAACAAGTTGTTCCCAGGATTAGCGTTCTTACTCTATAACAACTTAATAACTCAGATAAAGAAATAACGTGACTACATTTGAAATTGTTCCACATTTTTCTCTTACTCTATCCATCTTCTGCTTCGTTTATTTTTGATGAAGGAATATGTACATTTTTTAAAACGGTGGCTTTAGTCCGTTTAAATCCTAACGATATTTTGAATTCTTTTTCACTCTCTAAATATCAAATTGTCACCTTTTAAACATCATTGAAAATAGCTAAACAATTGTAATTTTCAGTTACGCTCTGAAGCTGTGTCTGACTGACTTGATTTCCAAGCAAATAATTTTCCGTTTTCAAACTTGTTATAGTGAATTTGACTTACATGACGAGATATCGTCATGAGCCATTGTATTTAGGAAACTGAAGATCAATAAATATGCATTTTCTAAGCCTATCGACATTCCTCTCGTAACACGCATTCTCCTAAAATATGGTGACACTCTGAAGCGTGAATTTACTTGAAGTTAATCTTTCGTTTCTGTACTGCCAGATATCCTACCATTGTGGTTCTTGTATACGAAATTTGTTTAAACTGTATTTTCTTTCGTTGAGTTTTTTCAAAGAAACATCTAACAGAAATTTCATTTACAACGAATGGTTTTCAATTTCATCTAACATTACACGCATAGATATTGCTTTAAGTACTGTCACTTTTTTTTAGCCACAAAATCTTTTTGTGATTGCAGCTGTCAAATCAGCAAACATTATTACAACACTTTCTCGTTTCTTTTTCTCGTCAAGTAGTACTTTCTCTTTTTACTTTCAGTTGAACCATGTGATTATAATTTCATGTATAAAAAAATATTCATCTCTCGTGTAGATAGTTCGGTCAATATTCACGCCTTCCTGAGGTATTAGATTTTCTCATTTGCAGATTTTAATTAACTTAGACTTTTTTGTAAAAAAAAATAATTAAATATAGATTTTTTGCTCGACTATTCTCAATTGGAAAACTGTTTATCGTTTTACTAGGTCGTGTTGTCCTCACTTTACCATCGCTGTCCTTCTCAACATTTTTAAACCGATATTATATTATTATTAGATTATATATATATATATACATATATATATATATATATATATATTATAGTGTTACATGTGTCATCGATTTAATATAATGACTTGAATGCATTAGATGCATGGTGAAAATGTTTGTGACTGTTGGGGTCTTCATAAAGAAACTTTGTGGAAAGGTGGTTTTTTAACATATGCACTTAGCTTTCTATCAGTCATTGGGTCTCGGCTTCGAATCCCGCCCCACCTACTTCAGCCGGAGCGGCTGGATAGTGCTATCAGCCGTTACACAATAAATGTGGCTCACTGTTTGCCCTAATCTCCATTCTATGAAGAAGCATCCGAGTGAAATTTTAACCGTTTAGCTCTGAATAGCATGCACAAGACAAGTCGGATATGTAGTGAATTAAACTGACTCAGTCTGTAATAAAGTAGACCAATTTTGTGTAAATTCACTGATATTCTTGTTTAACTCAGAAACTTCATTAATTCATTCAACGCTTGTGCTTATGATCCTCCAGGGTTGTGTACAATACACTTTTCCCTTAACACTGCATTGTCTTTCATTGTGGTAATTGCCAATAATAAATTTTCTAGATCATATGCCTACCATTAGGGGATTTGATATTCCTTAGGCTTCTTTTAGTCTGTTCAAAAGCAACAGCTAATGAGCTTTCAGACTTAATAGTCTGAATATATTGGAAGTGTTCTATATCATGTGCTTTATCAAGCGTTCTTTCGGTATTATCAATTTTCGCTTCACTTTTTATGTTTAGCTTGTTCTAATATGCATCATACAGTGAAATGATAGATAAGTCAGTGAAGCTGACAAACTTCTTGGTTAAAAGGAAATATATGCAAAAAAAGATAAATGTCTATCGCCTTCAGTTACAGAAGTACCCGTTTTATGATACCAACGTATAATAGTTTCAAAGGATTATTGTACGCAGAAAAACAGTTTTATGCAGACTTGTGTATAATATGTGCTGGTAACCTTTGATTTCATCCGACAATTTCGGCTGATTGTAATACAATCACAATAATAATTACATAGAGTTATGTAAACTTTATAAGTTGAGCGTAAATTGTGTGTATTTCATATGCATTCCATTAAAGCTAATGTGACTTCTAGGCAGTTGGTGAAAGTTGTCCATAAAATCCATTTTCATCATTTTCTTTTGTTTGTCTTAGTCTTTTACTGCTTACTTCGGTTGTGTTGTATTACTTATCACTAGCATATATATATAGCGATTTGTGAAAAAAAAATATATTGTGTTATTATTCTTTTTTCTGTCTACAGGTGCTCCACGTCTTTTACAGGCAATAGCTCAAGACAATGTGATGCCATTTTTGAATGTATTCAAGGTGATCACGAAACGTGGTGAACCACTGAGAGCTCAGCTGCTGTGTTATGGAATCGCTCAGTTAGGCATACTGATCGCTTCAATTGATTATCTGACTCCGCTCATCACTATGTATGTGGACTAATCAATTTCATTTTATTTATTTATTTTTATAGTTTTTGGTTTGTAAGGATTAGTTATGTTTTACGAGTTGATCACGGATTGATATCAGTTAGAGAACCATTGAAAACCAGGGAGTACTGGACAGCTGCTGTTTCATCCTAGTTTTGGGAATCATCGGCAGTACGCACCCACTGGGTTTCGAACCCAGGACCTTCCGGTTACAAGGCAAGCTCGTATACCATTCACCCACTGGGACCCGATTCAATGGCTCGTGAATTCTAACTTCTACCAATTCGTGATTTAGCGCCACCCCAACCATTTATTTTTTCTTAATATTATTTTGTTTGTTTTTAAAAAAGGGAAATATCCGCTTTTTGATATTAGTTACGGATTGTTGTTTCTCGTGTGGAGCATACACGTCTTTGTTTAGTCGATTAGGCCTTGTACTCATATCTTGATTGTTATGACTTCCACCTCTATTCATTAAGTGACAAATATCAGATTGAAAACCTCAAAAATGTGACAAATTTCGCTTAAAACAATCATTTATCCTAGATACCCTTAACTCTCTGTTTAACTTACAAATATCTAGGCAAATATTCAAATAGCTAGACGTATAGAAAATAAGTATAATAAGTATAAGGACTGTATCCTCTATCTTTAGAATACTGGTAATTATGAAAATGTGATTTATTTTTTCTGCCTAGTATCTAGTGCAAATTAAGTTTGCGAAATGAAACCAGTTATCCATTTTACATATCAAAGTATTTTGTTCGTTAATTTGGTTCTTCATTTTTTGAACACCATTCTTCAATTTACTGTGGATTATGGTTGGCTTAGACGCCTGAATCCTTTTGTTCCTTCATACAAAGCGATAAAATCTCATTCTCTCTTCCAATATGCAATAACGTACTTCTATAAACAACTGGGTATTTGTCTGATAGCAGATCAATAATCTGCTGAGTGTTTATCGGCAGTAAAAGTTTAAAATGTGGAATAAAAGTTAAAAAACCCACCTAACTCGGAAGGAAATATATCTCATCTAACAAAAGTACTCCTATAGTAATCTCATAAATATTTAGCATTTATTGAAATACAAAGACAAATAATGAAACATAATTGCATGTCGAAGTGTGAGGAATATTGAATAACTGCTATTATATCTAACTGAAAATCTTATTGTGCATACTCTTTGGATGTGTATGGGTTTCACATTTTGTACAATGACCTAAATTCATCTCTGGCTAATAGCTTCAGTTATCATCCATATCATGAATATCTGATTTTAAGACATTCCTTGCATATGCTTTGACAACATCTAACCAGTTCGCCAGCTGCAATAGACTGCTGAGCAAATATATATATATATATATGGAGACAAAAGGGAGAAAGCTGTTTTACTCCATAGTTGTTCACTTATATATCCATTTTCTCTGTTGTCTGACTTAGTGCTCATTGATACCATCCTATCATGCTAAACATGATTCGTTGTAATTCATACTAGGTTGCGTCGGTGGCATAGCGGTTAAAACGCTCGCCGACCATGCACATGGTCCGGGGATCGATTCCCGGCCGGCGCACTCCTTTACCTCGCTAAGCCGGAAATAATCCTGGTAAAGAGGAAAGGTTGGGCATGAGGCTAGCAACCTCATCCTGTAAAATAAACACTGCTACAGAAACTTCAAGCCACCAGCTTGAAGCCCTATGTTCCACACGGGAACGTGAAGGAAAAATTATTATTATTATTCATACGAGGTACACAGAACAAATCGCTACTTTGCTAACGAGGTATAACCAGTTGCGCAATATCTAAATCCGAGAAATCTCTAGAAACCTGTTTTTTTCACCAGTTTAGCAATTGTTAGCAGTACAGTATGGGGACTTTTCAAGGAACGGAATCTAGAATAGCGAGCTGTATTAGTGGGAACTTTACTGCTCACCTACTGGATCCAACTCTGACCAGTAATGTCTTCTCATTGCATGACATTAGCTAGAGATTAGTTTCTGTTCTGCAAAAAAAATACGTGTTAATCAGCGTTCCCATGACTGTAGTTCAAAGATTTTCCACAGGTATTATGAACAATCTTCATAGTGGTTGGTTAGCTAGGGAAAAAGTTTGCATTTCTGAAAATCAGGTTTTAGCCATAGGATATGCCGAAAGAAGGGATAAATCAGAATTCTGAAGGTTAGTTATTGATGCTATAAACAATCATTAGTAATTTTCGATGCATCATAAAAAGAAAGTAATTTTTCAGTGATAGGAGAAAAAAAAAGGAATTAAAGAACAAACAAATAAAGTAAATTTAACCAAGAAAAACTGCTTGCCATGTGTTCTGTGTACGCGAAATATGCATAGGAGAAGAAGAATTTTAATTTCTACACAAACTTCCTAAATATACACAGAAAAATGGTCAGCTTTTATATGAAAGCGTGAAAAGTGCATTCTCTAACAACCATGATTATTTAATGGCAATAATGATATTTTCACTTTTAAATTATGGAGGAAAAATATTTCCTAGAAGAAGCATTTTCACTAGTCCTGAAAACAATTTAATTGATTAGGGAACACATTATACGCATAAAGTGGTAAAGTGAGATGTTTTTTTCATTCGTTTATTGTTCTGCCCTTTGTAAAATGCCATTTGATTAAACCGTTCAACAATATTAAAATAACTAGAATCGTATTGAGAAAATTTGCCGAGTGTTTTCAATGCTAGGCAGTCTGCATTGTATCGCATTGCATCCCTGTAGTCCTGTAAACGTTGTAAAGTCAATGTATTTGAAAGAGGACTTTCAGTTAATTTCGAAACTTGTATTCTATTTTAAAAGAATGGATACTGAACAAAGAGTACTCTTTTCGATAAATTCATCATCAGGCTCTACAGTTAATATATACATTATAGTGAATGAATGAGTTAGTGTTATAAACGACATTAATGTTTAAATAACATCAAATCAATAATATTGATAGATTACAGCTCAATAGCATCAACATAAAATAAGCTGAATGTCAGAAACATTAGGAAAGATAATAGTACAAATTCATGAGTTTATAGCTAAGTAAAGGTGTAGTGAAAACTATTAACAGCTCGACATTGGAACATCTGGTGCAAACAGGACACAAAGCCAGCGTAGATGAATCCTTCTCTATATTATACCGGGTGCCAAATAAATTACCAAAAACATCGAAGCACCGCAGGCTCCAAACAACAGAGGCTATTGCGATTCGCCTCAAACAACCAGCACTTTGTGTCCAAAAGAAGCAATTCCAACCCCTACTATTGCCCTGGCCTTCAGTATAAGCTATAAACTCATGAATTTGTACTATTATATTTCTTAATGTTTCTGACATTCAGCTTATTCTATGTTGATGCGATTCAGGTGTAATTTATCAATATTATTGATTTGATGTTATTTAAACATTAATGTCGTTTATAACACTAACTCATTCATTCACTATAATGTATATATTAACTGTAGAGCCTGATGATGAATTTATCGAAAAGAGTACTCTTTGTTCAGTATCCATTCTTTTGAAAAGTTCTAATGGGCATTTTTAATCAGTTATTCTATTTTCCTTTGTTTTTGCTATCAGCGTTATGCTACATCAACAGTGAAAAGTCTGAGAACACAAAAATTGTTTATAACATATCCGGCAGTGTATTACATTTAGAGTAGCTTGAAAATATCTGTATATTTCGCCTTCTCATAAACTCATATGAAAAACAGCAGACTGTTTTTCATTGATAAATAAATATACCAGGACTTAGATTCTATTAAGCCAAAGTTCAAGGTTTCTCTTAATGCATGTTCAGACAAACTATTCAATAAAAAAAAGCCAGTTAACAACATATTTTACGTCACTATTGAATAAATATTGCGTAGGTATATAAGTTCAGGTGGACTAGAAGTTTTAAGGGTAGTTTCGTCAACTACACTCGGCCACTTTATTACTCCTTTGTCTCACACCTCTGCTCACTGTTTCTATTATGCTTTTCTTGTACTTTCTTCTCTTGCTTCGCGTGCTACAAGGAGTGTGGCGACTTGAACCGGTGCACATTTGTGCAAAGTTCTATGTCGAAAACAGACAGACAGACACTCGGCCACAAGTTACAAGTATTGGAGTTTTGTCTTAGTTTTAAACGCTTCACTATTTTTGTACAAATTAAACCAATTGGAAGATGTACTCCATAGTCGAGAAAATCAATACTGCCACTTTGTCAAAGAATTTCGACTCTTAATCGGAAAATTCAATTATTAGTTAAATTGCTTATATAGCCACAACTAAAATTTATTCGTGTTTATGATCGGCTAAAATTTCTACAAACTTTGTATTGTTCACGTTGTATAGAGACCCATGGTGAATGGTTTGTAACATATTATATATATATATATTTCGATAGCAGTTTTTATTTGTTTTGTTTACTATTCTCGTTTCGGACAACCTTTATTTATCAATTTTTATTATTAAATTAAGTAAATAAGGTCTTTGAATTTTTTTTTTGATCATGTTCATATTTACGATTCTTTAAGCTCTATCATACTTTGTAGGCATCCATCTATCTATCTACCTATCTATCTTCTTATCTTTCTGTCATCCAGTGAATGTTCATTTACATAGGGGTTTGAATATAATTAACTTACACTTTTGTAATAGCTGATATTGTTTGTTAGCATGTTTACTTGTTTAGGAAATTTTTTCAACTCTCATCATCATCATCACCAACATCATGATATGCATCATCAACTGATCAAGCGCAATTCCTTTTGAAAACAACAACAACAACAGCTATAATAAAAAACACCAAATATATTAAAAAATGTTATAAATATTTAGTAACAATTCCGTGTTGTTACCTTATTTTTTTTTGTGTTTTTTTTCAATAAATTCGCTTTCTGTGTGTACATGGGTGTAGGTGTGGGTGTGCGTATGTGCGTGCACTTGTGTTTACTAAGTCAGTGACTATCTATTGAGTTTATCTTGGATAATAATATTTTTGTTTACTCGG